TATTTTTTGCAGTGGATATCCATTGTTGCGCGACCCTCACTACAACAAAGGCCTTGCCTTCACAGAGAAAGAGAGGGATGCTCACTTTTTACGTGGTCTTTTGCCGCCGGTGGTTATTCCCCAAGACATCCAGGTTAGCATATTTGAGACCCATCTAAAGCCAATTTCCAGTATTATAAATAGTTGTTTTCTACTTGTTGTTACTTATTGAGTGACTAATTGTATATTTCTCTGTGTAGGTTAAGAAAATGATGCACAACATGCGCCAGTACCAAGTGCCACTACAGAGGTACATGGCCATGATGGACCTCCAGGTAATTTATCAAACATAATCTGCGTTATTGTTTAATTTATTCACACACCGCGAAAAACGTGATAAGCTGCCCCGTTTAGATCCATCACATGCATCCCCAGTTTGGTGTTGTCGATTATTGGTGCGTTTTACAAACACTTTTAGTGTTTTTCTACCAATGCTGAAAAAAGTATGTGTCATCTCAAGTGTCCAATTTGTGTTTTGATTGTGTATAATTTTAATCAGAAATAAGCAGGGAAGGGGAGCTTAGATTTCTGATTTGACTTTTGCACTTAAATAAAGCATTTTTTGCAACTTATTACCAATCTCATTCTCTATCTGCAACAAACTTCTACTTTGCAGCTGCTATTTTCATTTTTGCTTGAATTTGTTCTTATGTTAGCCTGTTGATGTCTCGCAAGTCACAACCAACATCCATGCATTTTTACAGCAATAGTGCATTCTAATGTTTAATTTGTGTCATTCTCTTCAGGAGAGGAATGAAAGATTGTTCTACAAGCTTCTCATAGACAATGTCGAGGAGCTTCTTCCTGTGGTCTACACTCCAACTGTAGGCGAAGCTTGCCAGAAATATGGATGCATTTTCAGACAACCTCAGGGTCTCTTTATTAGTCTCAAAGAAAAGTGAGTTTCATACTTTGCAGAAACATAAAGGATCATCCTAGTTCGTGTGCTGTAATATTCTTTTGAGTTGATTATCGGTTTTGTAGGGGACGGATTCTTGAAGTCTTGAAAAATTGGCCGGAGAAGAAGATTCAAGTCATTGTGGTGACAGATGGCGAGCGGATATTGGGACTGGGAGATCTTGGCTGCCAGGTAACTTTGTTTATTCTTTTTCTTTGATCCCACTATTTGTTTGGGAAAAAAAAAGGTATATTTCGAATATGAGTTTCATAATAATTGCAATTTGCAATGGAAGATCACCAAAACTTAAAGCTATCTCGGCTCTAGCTTATACGGTGACTTGCATATAATGTGCTTTATTCATCTATAGTATTATTCACTGCCGACAGGGAATGGGGATACCCGTTGGGAAGCTCTCGTTGTATTCAGCTCTTGGTGGCATCCGTCCTTCTGCTGTAAGTTACCAACCCTCCCTTGTTATTTTTTGTTCTTTTTGCAACTGAATTTGAAGTTATTGTTATTTTTACTTCATTCCAGTGCTTACCTGTGACCATTGATGTGGGAACGAATAACGAGCAGTTATTAAATGATGAATTTTATATCGGACTTAGAAGAAGGAGAGCAACAGGACAGGTTAACAAACAATCTGTTACCTCACAGTAAATTTTGAGGGTGTCGTAACTTTTTTGCTTTTACAAAAGTGAAAATTTATCCACACCAACAGGAGTATGCCGAGCTCCTTCATGAGTTTATGTCTGCAGTGAAGCAGAACTATGGAGAAAAAGTCCTTATCCAGGTTGGTCGTTTTTTAGCAGAAAAAGTTTTGGTACCGTTTATTTATTTTTTCCAATGTTGATTCTTACAAGTTTGTTTCTTTTTTCCTTCTGTTATTTTCCTCCCTTCTTATGATTGTGCAGTTTGAAGACTTTGCAAATCATAATGCTTTTGATCTTCTAGCAAAGTATGGACCTACCCATCTTGTTTTCAATGATGATATTCAGGTAACTTTATAGGATTCATTTTTCCCTGTTAATGAGTTCGAAATATATTTACTCGCGTCTATAATATTTATCTGGCTTCTTTCTTTTTATATCAAAGCTAATTTGCAGCAAAAAGTTTATTTTCGTATCAGGGTACAGCATCTGTGGTCCTTGCCGGGCTTATGGCTGCATTGAATTTAGTGGGCGGTACTTTGTCTGACCATAGATTCCTATTCCTTGGAGCTGGAGAGGTGTGCCTGTTATTACTCATCTCATTATACTATTTCGATTTCGTATTTTTTGCAGACACTCCCTGTTAACAAAAATAGTTGTTAATTCCTATGTTTAAATCTTAACTTGGTTCTCTTTATATGCTCAATGTAACATGTATTTTTGAATTAGCTCTTTCCCATTCTGTATATCCTTCATTTTTTCTGGTGGTATGCTTTCATTGTTATGCTTATATATTTTTTGTTATTTTACTTTCTGATTATTTATTTATTTTAATCCTGTGTGTGTTATTATGGCAGGCTGGCACTGGTATTGCTGAACTCATAGCACTTGAGATTTCGAAACAGGTCAAAGATAGAAATTTATTCGTTTTATTGTAATAATGATCTATTATTGTTCCTATCTTGGCTGAAGTCGTATCCATTGTACAAAACCTGTCTGTAAAATGGATATCCGTTATACATGCAGACTGGCATCCCAGTGGAGGAGGCTCGCAAGAAGATTTCGCTTGTTGACTCAAAGGTACTGTGACCGAAAGTATATTTTCGATTATGAATTTTTTGCTTTTTATCTGAGTTTAAATACCTTTGTGATGTTAAACAAAAATTATGTGAACTCTTGCTTTTCTAGGGCTTGATCGTCAGGTCTCGTATTGAGACACTCCAACACTTCAAGAGGCCCTGGGCTCATGAACATGAACCTGTGAGAACTTTGCTGGATGCTGTCAAGGTGTGGGAGCTCTCTCTCTCTCTCTCTCTCTCTCTCTCTCTCTGTGTGTGTGTGTGTGTGTGTGTGTGTGTGTGTGTGTTTGTGTGTGTGTCATTTGAGTCACATATATGTATGCTAAAAAAGGTGTTCTCAGATATAGGAGGATAAATTACATTAACAACCCCTGAGCTTTGCATAATTACAAAGACTTAATATCTTTGGAAAATACAACCACTACTTTTGACCCAAGTGGCAAGTATTGCTAAAACCCTCTTGCTTATTGTAAGAACTACTCTTTTCTGAGGGTGTAAATTATGAAAGATGGGGTCTTTTCTTTTCTTTTCTCGTTCTGCCTTTTGTAATTTGAATCATCCTCAACAAGTGTGTGCATGGAAATAAACGCAAACAAAAATGGCAGTCAAAATATAACATAATCTTCGTCCTGTTTTCATTTGATAGGTCATAAAACCAACTGTATTGATTGGATCATCTGGAGCCGGAAGAACCTTCACCAAAGAAGTGGTCGAAGCTATGGCATCCATTAATAAGGTTTGGCAAAAGATATAAAACTTGTATATTTTTTAACTTCTTTTATTTTTTTATTTTATAATGGTCGGCTTACGAAATTGCATTTCATTGTCTTTCAGAAACCTGTTATCCTTGCCCTCTCTAACCCAACCTCACAGTCTGAGTGTACGGCTGAAGAAGCTTATGCGTGGAGCGAGGTGATCATTAGGCTTTTATGTTCAAGTTTGCATTCTTCATACCTCACATGATTATTATTTTAAATCATATATTTTTAGTTGCAATGAATTTTCACCTTCTCCTGTACTTTTCGGTTAGGGACGAGCCATTTTTGCTAGTGGGAGCCCATTTAGCCCGGTGGAATATAATGGCAAATTTTATGCATCCGGCCAGGTTCAGTCAAAGCACTTTTTGTTCTCTATAATCTATTATTAGCATATTTTATTTAATTCCTTTTCGTAAATACTTTATCTGCTGATTTAAGCATGTTTGTCATTTTGAAGGCAAATAATGCATATATCTTCCCGGGGTTTGGTCTGGGTTTGATTATTTCTGGTGCCATTCGAGTTCACGACGATATGCTTCTGGCAGCTTGTAAGTTTGATTTCGGCCACCTATTTGTGCCCTTGTTCCCAATATAAGATTTCACGATAATGCTCTTGGGGTAATTACAGAAACTGCCACCTGGGTTTGTGACCATTACAAGCTCTAACATAGTTAAAGAAACCTAAAAATTACC